ATCGTCTTCCACAGGCGATGCAAAACTGACGATATATCACGATATATAATTTCTAATATCGCCCAGTCCTAATCATAAACCTATTAAAATTTCTCTTAACAAAACTTTGTCAAAAATAATATTCCAAACAACGCATTGCCAAACAATCAGTCGCATATTAAGCCAGCCGAATATTTAACAGAAAGGGTCAAATAACGAATAATCGTTACATATTGGTGATAATTCCAAAAAACAGTCGCGAACATATGGTCCGAATAACCATCAAGTACCAAACGAATCAATGACTGTGAATCTACTAAATTCCAGCCTAAAGATTTCATACTGCATTTGCAGAAAATATTGAAAAAGAGTAGGCTTCACCATAAAAATTTGGTAAGAGGTGTCAATTAAGTTTTTCGTAAAATAATTACTCTCAAAAAGTTTGTCATCATCTGCCTACCAACATGAATCTGGTATGTATACTTAGTTGATAGTACTTAAGTTTCAACTATTGGCTATTAACTAGCATTTTATGGAAATATGTCGGATCCAAAATCCATATCTGCATTTATAATCTTCGCAAAGGAGAAAAAAACAAAAAAGAGGACAATATTTAATAAAAAAAAAAAAGAATATCAGGGCAACTAATTACTGTTACATTTACTAAGTCATTAATATTCTCTGATAACTATTATATAATTAAAATTTTTAAACAAGTTGAAAATTCACTTAATGAAATAATTTTAAAGCTTCTTAATCAAATAAATATTCTTAATCGAATAATTTTAAAAATTCTATAATTTGATTAGTGTATCATTGATTGGAATCAATATCTTTCAAAAATCACAGGAAAAAGATTAATCAGTAATTGTGACACTACAAAGTTGCCTTTTCATGTACTGACTGAATTCCCAAAATGATGAATCTATAGAATAGAAAGATATGTCTGAACTATATTTATAATCACATTGGAACAACTATATTGGTCCCTACATTGGAACTACTGAATTTATATTTATAATAAATTCAGTAAATGAGTTTCACGAAATTTGGTTCATGTTTTGATATTGTTAGAGTTTGAGTTCATGAAATAAATTATTATTTCTAATTAACTTAATATAAATAGAAAATTAATCAGTTCAAACCTTGTGACTTTTCAAATCTATTTTTTTATAAAAAACTACATTTGTTTTCTTATAAATTGAGATGTTCTGAACACATGAAAGGCAGGAAAATAAGAGATCAAATAAGAATAAAATATATTTATCAGGAATATCAGGACAATTACAAAAGCTGCTAAAAGTAAATTTTATTTTTTGTACCAAGTAACTATGCTGATAATGCCCTTTTTACTAGAGGTACTAATTTATGCCAGGATCAAGGAAAGATTATAGTAACTACAAAAACATTTTATCTTTTGTTACTTTAATGGTCTCTACAGAATTGCAACATTTAACAGATCCATAATTTGCCAGAATAGTTATATTGAGTTTGATAAATGTTAAATTTTTATAATATTTATAATTGTGAAGTAAATAATCACAAACTTTCAAGTAATAATTATTGATATCAGAAAAGAAACTATCACAAATAAAATAACAGATTGATAAACTTTCACAAAAATAAAGCAACAATACATTGTAAACAATTTACTATACAATCTAACCAAAAAATGACATATTAAAACTAGAGCAGATTCAAACAAATATTCTATTACATAAGGAAAAAATTAACATAATATAAGAAAGTTAAAAAGAAATCTTTATCAAGAGTTTACAATGATAGCTTATCTCATACTGAAATTAAATAGGCATGATCCAAGATAATATTTTGCACTATTTCTACAAAATGAAAGGGGAATATCCCTCCTCCCCTATTAGCTATGAAGATTAAAAATACTTCCCGATTCTCTAGAAGCAAAATAGGGAGAGTCCCCTTCCGAAAGCAAAGATAAAAATACTTTATTCTTGCAGTATGAAAGTGGGATATTCATGCCCAGATTGTTTTGTTTTCATAAATAAACAAAATTAATTTTAATTTTTAAAAGTCTCATCTTAACAACAAACTAATTAAATCTGAACAACTTTGGATAAGGTAAATTATACAAATACGAAACTCTTAGGAACTAAAGAACAGAAGATAAGCGAGATCAGAAAATGCCGATTCATTGAATCCCCAAATTAGATAAACAATGTAACTTAAGACATCGAAAATTGTGACCTTAAATTACACTTCTAAATGCTAATACTAATAAAATTAGTGAAATACAAGAAGTATCATCAACATAGGCAAGAATAAACTGACAGAGGCATTACACGCCTCGTGTATAACGGCAACCACGTTTTAGTAAATATTTACAGTCCATCAGAAGGAAGATTAAAAAATCATATTCATATCAGAAAATCAAGAAACCATTCAACCATTTATATAGCATATTATTAGAAATAATTCCTAATATCATAACAAACCTTGTAGTAAGCGCCATTCTCACCGCACACTTCGACGGCAACGTCCTCCATCTTGCAGCAGAATACAATTACTGGGAGATGTGTGAGAGAAACTCAGTAGCTCCTGCTTATCACCGGCATCAATATGTATTTCATAACAATTATAATATAAATGCAAGACACACGCAACTACCACAAAGCTGGCACAAGACGTAAAATAAATAACACCCAAAACTTTATTCTATTTGCCGCAAAAGAAGGTATGATTTAAAAATGAACGTTCGAAGTGACAGTTAAGCTTGTGGAAACTTCAGTAACCGTGTGAAAAATTTTAATATTTATTTCATCACTGCAGAATAATCACATAGGAAATTAAAATTACTTGCGTTTAATTTAAAATACCAAAAAAAAAATTTTTCACAAAAGGAATTCGATGAAAATCCAAAGTTTGAGAAAAGGTATGAACAATCACTTAGGGGTCATTCCTGCTACATGTTGAAAATGCAGATGCGAGTTCAGAAATGCTAATTCGAGATCTTAATGCGCGTTGTTGTTGTTGTAGTTCATTTACGTCGCACTAGAGCTGCACAACGGGCTATTGGTGACGGTCTAGAAAACATCCCGGAGGATGATCCGAAGACAAGCCATCACAATTTTGATCCTCTGCAAAGGGGATGGCACTCCCGCTTCAGTAGCCCAACGACCTGCAAGCGAAGTCGAACACTTTACAATAGAACAGTTTAACGAGGACCCATACCGCACATCCTCGGTCCCTACGCAGACTGATCCAAGTGGTCTCCCACCCGCACACTGACTGCAGCCATTGATAAGTTACTTCATTGATCTTCTGGGAACTGCGTCTTAACGATCAGTCCACTGCGGGACCCTTAATGAGCGAATTTTTCGTGGTTAATTATATTTCTCCTTTCATGTTTTATTTTTAATCTTCAAATACGCTTCTATGTATTTTTAACAGCTGAAGAAGAAGGTCCCTTATTCACATGGTTTCAGAAGACAAATGAATCCCACCTCATCATTGGGTCACGCTCACAGCATGCGGCTTACTCACCTCCGATCACCGTCAGAAGGAAGAATAAGATAAAAGGAAGAATGAGAACCTAATAATGGATGAAACAGATTCACCCGAGAAAGAATCATCAATCAGGTTCACCATCTATTGGCGAACGAAATGGGCTACTCTGTACCCATGTCAAAATTTCTCATGCTTTCACCTATAACGTGTGGAGAATCATAGGAGGTGGAAGTACGTTAGTTTCTGTCTTACTTTTAAAACAAATTAAAAACTTAGGAAACTGTACTGAACTGCAAACGTCATAGAACATAGTTCTAAAAGAAAGCGACGTAGAAATTTTTAAAAAATAATTTTTCAATTAAATGCCATTATTTTTATTTTAATGCCATTAAATTTGTTAAACCTATAATTAAAAAAAAAGTGAAAAATTTTTGTTCTATTTAATTAATAAATAATATCATGCAAAATTTGTAACAAATGAGTAAAATAAATTAATTGCAAACTTACCTTACATAATCTGCTATTTTCGTTTGGATTTCATTTATATCTGCCGATTTTATGCAGTCATACTTTTCGTCGTTTTTTATTGGGGATCGAAATAGGCTACAGGTGGCGTAAAGCAGAACTCTCTACCAATGGCGCATCGCTTTGCATGCTTTCACCATTAGCGTGAGGAGAGTCATAGGAGAAGGAAGTACGTCAGTTCCTGTCTTGATTTTCAAGTAGATTAAAATATTTTTAGTTGGGAAACTATATATGGAACTGAAAACTATATTGAATATAGTTCTAAAAGAATGCGTAGTGAAACTTTAAAATTTTAGAAAGGGGAAATTTTTGTAGTACATTCATATAAAACCGAGAAGAGAGAATGAAGGAGGGGAAAGATATATAGAACCGGTCGTCTCCCCAGGTGCTGTATTCGAGCATTGCGATCGCGTCATTACGATCTTAAAAGAGAAAAGATATAATTTAAAGCCTAAATTTGACTTATTAGAACACCCAATGCACAACAACCTGTCATTATAAATTTCAAAGTATAAAACAAAAAAAAAAAATTGAAAAAGAGCGAAAATAAAAATAATAGATCTATCACAATGATACTTCGCCATTCAAACTAGTCACCAATATGGCGACAGTTTACCATGTGATCGGCAACAGCCAATCTAACGCGAAAGTGGCACAAGGTCGTGGGGAAAAGAGCGACGCCAATTAATTGTGGGCTTTACTCCACCCCTTTATCGATGTCGCACGCAAACCTCTTCAAACTGCTGATGCAGTTGATTTTAGGTCACTTCGCTCACTCTTTTTTCCATATTCTTGTTTAATTCTACCAGCCTATCTATTTCACTATATTTTATAATTTATTTTATTCACAGAAGAGCCTGTGCCCTCTGTACGCTATCGCACACCAATCTTCAGAACTTGTAGGGTGGATCTTTTCGAATCAATCACTTTGTTCGCTCTTTTAACATATTTAGCCCTCTATAGAACGCGTTACTAATAGGGAGGCAAAAAAAGTAGAGAGAGAGAGAGAGAGATTAGAGTGAATTGAGATAAAGTTTTTAAGGAGACTTAACTTTGCAATAATTCAAAACTAATTTGAAATAGGTGTAAAGAAAGTACGGCGAAACTATCATCTTCAGACTTGAATACTTGATTGCAAAAGATCATACTTCTACGGCTAATCATTTATGCTGAACTAAATTATGGGTAGTAATTGGCAATCGAAATGGGCTACAGGTAGCGTAGAGCAATACTCTCTACCTATGGCAACACTTCGCATGCTTTCACCATAAACGTGTGGAGAGTCATAGAAGAAGGAAGTACGCTAGTTTCTGTCTTGATCTTCATATAGATTAAAGTCTTTTAAGTGGGGAAAATATATGGAACTGATAGTTCTGAAAGAAAGCATCATGGAAAGTTTGAAAAATATTTTGATTTATTAAAAAGAAAAAGTATTAAGAAAAGGAAAAAATATCGTAGTACATTCCTATGCAACTGGAAAGAGGAGGAGAGGGAAGGGAGAAGGGCCAAAGGCATGGAATCGGTCTCTTCCCCAGATAGCGTATTCGAGCGTTGTATAGGAAATCTCCTCCAGTATTTGAAGATACACAAACGAGAATTTTATATATTAGTGTATAAATATTAAGAAGACTCCTTAGGCCAGTGTTTCCCAAAGTGTGGTCGCGTACCCCCAGGGGTACGAGAACAGTTTAGCGGGAATGCGCTTTCTTATACGAAATATCTTGCAACAAACGAAAATTTCAAAATATTTTATTTGAAAACAAAGCTAGCAATGAAAATTTACGATTGGCGATCGAAATGGGCTGCAGGTGGTGTAGAGCAGAACTCTTTTCCTATGGCAACACTTCACATGCNCCCCCGGGTTACGAGAACAGTTTAGCGGGAATACGCTTTCTTATACGAAATATCTTGCAACAAACGAAAATTTCAAAAAATTTCACTTGAAAACAAAGCTTGCAATGAAAATTTACGATTACGCATTTTTGTACATTTTTTGCAGAGTTAACAGTTAATAATTAGTGGCTGCCAGTTGTGATTGTTAACTTTTGTGCAATTTTTTATAGTAAAAAATACATTCATTTTTCAGTGGTACACAGCGTTACGAAAAATTTAGAAAGGGTACACAAAAGTCATAAGTTTGGGAAACACTGACTTAGATGAACGGTGTCACCGTTCCACAAAACGCTCTGTAGCGTGGTGACATTACATAAAAAACAAGCAATATACGTAATCACTATGGTCGGTTGACGGAGTGTAAACAATAACAAGCTTCCTGAAACCAGAAGAAATTTAGAAAACTTCTGGTGTATCCCTCCGCCTATGTTATGCTTACGAGGCGATGTGTAAAACGGCTTAATGTTTTAGGAAATTTTGTTAATGTGATTTATATAAATATGTTTAAATCTACGCGTATTTTTACCATTCATAAGAGTTTCTTGTAATACATAAATTCTAAATGGTTGTGAGCCTAAAAAAATTGAACAAAATTAATATCACAACATAAAGTGTAAGGTTTGCCATGTTTTGAGTGTTATCCGTTAGTTGGCTATATTTGTGTGAAATATCCCAGTTAGTTAATGTTTGGAAAAAAATCTTGCAGGACATATCATGCTTGCGGAGTTTTCCAAATTTATATGTTGTTTGTTTCATTGAAATTGAAAGAGCGCGTTAAATTGTAAACTCTAAAGTATCTTAATCAAATAAATTTTCTCAATAGTCAATTAAAGTCAACTGGAAGTAGTAACCCGGAAGTCTTACGACGAATTTTAGCCCCTAGTGCCATTTGTGCTTAGCTTTACACGGTCGACCATCCATTAAACCAATTCGAAATTTTAAAAAAATATAAAAAGTTTTTTTTTTTACTTTTTATCTTTAGTCATAAAAGTACATGGCAGTAATAAGCTCTAATTTTTATCGCGATTGGTTTTTCCTTTAACTCGAAAAATAAGAGAAACTGTCAATATTAATTATAAAATTACTCTAAAACTAATTTGAAATTTACACAGAGTGAGGTATCTTACTCATTTTCTGCAGTGGTCATGACGGCACTAAATTTTTCTTTAACATAGAAATCATTTATTTTAGGAATTTTAATCTGATTTGGTAATGACATGCTTTGCTTTTAATTCACTGCTTGAATTAGGAGCCGAGAATCAGCGAGTCCGTGAAAAGTACTCAACAATGGAGAACGCGACGTGAGGAGTATCTCTTTCGTTTTTTATGTAAATATTTGCTTCAACTTTTCTTGAATTTTGGAGTCAGGAATAGTCATAATTATTTTGTTGCGTAACGAGCTCTACTCGTTTATGCACACACACTGGTCAATGAATTAAAAACCTGTGAGATTTTCAGCTCACTAGATGCAAAGTATGCAAAATCTGTTTATGACATGGGTGGAACCTCATCACAATGCAAGTAAAAGCAAGACGTGTGGATGTAGAATGGGAAAAACGGCAGATCTCCCATAATTTGAAGAAAAAAAGGGCTTATTTATTGTTGTTGTTACTTATGCCATTTGCCAATAACAGTGGGCCTGCTTAAAATCAAACGCATTTTAAGACAGAGGGGGCGTTTCTTGCTTTTTAAGTTTCGCCATCTATGGTCAAGAATAAGACTTGAAGCACACACATGTCACAGCCCGTTTTACAGCGAGGTTTCAGTCATACTCCATTCATTTATTAATCGTAATTTTGACCTGAACAAGAGAACAGTAAATCTCCAATTCAGTACCCCCAGAGGTTTGATTTATTATGGGAACTTGGAGGACTTTG